GAGAGAGAATGATAACTTGCAGTTGGAATGATCAAAGGACATTCCACAGAGGAAATAGAATCATGAACCCTGAAGGAAAGGAAGAGATCTAATAGCTGAGGTTAATGGAAAGAGTTACTTAAGAGAGTAGGGGAGATGGAGAGGGACAATGTAAAAGAAAGCAAAGAGCTGGATAAAAGGCTAAGTATGTGAAAGGAACAATATAGAGAAAATAGAGGTTACATGGCAAGATTAATAATAGTTCTAAACTAGAAATCCAGATTAGGCTAAATTTTAGGGAACTTGGAATCTAGATTTTAAGAAATTGTACTGTATACTGTTCGATAAAATGAAGCAACATAGCAAGAGGGATTTTTCAATGAAGACCTTAATAGAAGTATGAAAACGATAGAGTCTGAACTAAGAAGTTGAAAGAAGAACAAGTGTGTTTTTCTTTCAAAGGACTTGATAAGAGTAGGGGCTATCTGTGAAGATAGGAAGAATAATAGGGAAGAAGTTAAAGAATAGAGTTTTGAATTTTTTAAAATTTCTTTTATTCATATGTGCATACAATGTTTGGGTCATTTCTCCCCCTTACCCCTACCCCCTCCCTTTCCTCTGCCCCCTCCCTCTCTCTCCCTACCCCTTCACTACCAGGCAGAAACTATTTTGCCCTTATCTCTGATTTTGTTGAAGAGAGAGCATAAGCAATAATAGGAAGGACCAAGGGTTTTTGCTAGTTGAGATAAGGATAGCTATACAGGGAGTTTTGAATTTGAATGGCAGGGAAAGTAGCAGTATAATTAAAGAAAATAATCTGGAAAGCAAGTCTTAACAGGCAAAGGGTGAATACAATTTTGGATTTATTACATTTGAAATGACAATGAGACTTCCAAGTGAAATAGACTTTTGGATATATGATACTGAATAAAGGTGATTTGAAATTTAGAGTAGGTGAGATTCCCAAAGGATGAAATGTGAAGACAAAAATAGTACAATGTCAAGGACAGAACTTTGAAATCTTAGAGGATGGGAGGAGAAAATAGTGCCAGAGAACAACAGAGATGAACCATGAGAGATGGACAAGCAACTGTGGAATCTTAAAAAATGGTGACTATCCTCTCTTTGTTCCCAAGGCATGTTCCTGAACTTAGGGGGGTGGAAATCAGTGTTTCATCATTAAGTGTGATGCTATCTGTAATCTTTTGTAGGTGTCCTTTATGTGATTGAAGAAGTAGCTTTCTATTACTAGGTTAGTGAAAGTATTTGCCATGAAGAAATGTTTTCAAATGTTTTTTTCTGCATTCATCAATATTATCATGATTTTAGTTTTTAGATTTTTGATATGATGAATTTGCACAATTCATTTCCTGATATTTTATCCTTTTTATATTGCTGTTCTCTTTCCTAACATAGAAATGCCTTTATTTCTGTTTTTAAGAAAAATCTGTATCTAGGTCCATGAAAGATACTAGTTTATAATTTTTTGTAATGTCCTTGACTTTGGTATCAGAGTAATGGTGGAGTCAAAAAACATGTTCCTTCCCTTTTCTAGAAAGTTTGTGAAGGATTGGTATTGCCTTTTCCTTAAACATTTGGTAAAATTACAAATGAAATTATCTTGGTCTAGGATTTTCTTTGTGGGGTGTTTTATACATATGAGTAGGTTTAAGGCTACTCAGAGTATCTTTGCTTCCCTGAATGAGAAAAAGACAATGGTTTGTGTCTTTTGAGGACTTTATTTCTCATCTGGATTGTCCATTTGTTTTGTCACCATGGTGTGGATATTATTAACCTTTTAATATCTGCATGATCTAATATGATTTTTTCCTTCATTTTACTTATATCTATTTTCTGTGTACCTCCTCTGTTCTATTTCTTCTTTTTCTGATTCTTTTAAGATTGAGTATATTTTATGAATCCATAGAGTAGGTATTTTCAAGGACAGAAATAAGGCAGGATGGTTCTCTATCATGAATCATAGCTGAAATTCTTTCAATAAAGTGAGCTTAATGTCAAGAAACGTTGACATCTTTTATGGGTTAGACTATTTTGGATGTTCCTAGGAAAACAGAGATAAGCATGTGGGTTTCCAACTATTATGAAGGTCCAGCTGGAGGAATGTGTAAATAATAATACTATTTGGATAGCTAAGGTATACTATGATCAAAACTGAAGATGAAGCTAGGCCTTCAAAACAGGCCCCAGAAATGGGAAGATGTGAAAAAGTATAATGGCTTGGTTAATTCATATTTCAGTTTAACTTCAATAAGCTCCAACCATATTTTCCTTCACTAAGGTTGAGGATACCATTAGGTTCTTTTTTATCACATTTTCCTTGTAGTCAAGAGCTTTGACATAATTGGCAGATGTCTTTTCTAAAAAAAAAAAAAAAAAAATCATCCACAAAACAAAAAAAATGCCTTTAGGTTGGTCCTGAACTCAAGGGATCCTCCTGCTTCAGCCTCCCAAGTGCAGGGGCTACAGGTGTATGCCCATACCTGATTCTGTCTTTTCTAAATACTAAGGGCCCATTGGTTTACACAGGGCAGACAAGCTCAAGGAAACTTCAGCAATAGCTGAATGAAGTTTCTCCCATTTTTTTATAACTAAATTATGTGGAAAGCTAGAAAAAGGTGGAATAGCTGGAAGGAATTGATATTGCTGAGTGGAACAGGATGAATGGAAAATTGGCAAGCAAGCTGGATATTTTGTGGTACATGGTTTTGAAAATGTATTTGCATGACTAGGATAATTATTTTACTCTTCAAACTGATTACAATTTGTATTGTACTATTTTGTTTGCAAAAACTGATTGCATGAATAATGTAATGAAATGTAATGAGTTCAGTGTAAAGACATAGTCAGTTGATCTAAGTTCTTTTTGTCCATAAGCATTGTTATTTCATCTACATATTGAAAATCTATGCAATAAAAATGGAAAGATCACATCATCATAGGGGTATGCCATTTGAATTGCTGTCATAATTGCAACCTGGTTCTCAGAACCAAGTGTTTGTCAAGTCCCAACTTTAGCGTATACAAGAAAATTTCATGTAAAAAATGGTATGACTAGTTTCTATAGACAGAAAAAATAAACAGAAATAAACCTCCATCCCATTCTAGCAATGGCCACTGTAGCGTAAAATAGTGAGGAAGGATGTAGGCACTGGGGTCTGACTGCTACGGTTTGAATATTGCCTTTAAGATTTACCTGCTGCTTAATCCTGGACAAATTTCTTCAGTGTCTTCATCTGAGAATAGAGTTGATGTGCAGAACGTGCTGAAACATGATACATGAACCAGGGCACTGTACGCAATGTACTTGTACATTACAGTTATTGTTGCCAGAGTGAAGAAAGGTTAGTTAGACTCTGTGCATTGACAATTATTTGGGGTTTCAACATACTAAAAAATCTAGAACTTGGATGTATACACTCTTGATAATTATCTATAAAAGGTAGTAGGAATAAAAATACCATCCATCTGAATGTGACATTCATAGATTGTTTAAGGTTTTTCTTGTGTATTTTATTTTCTTAATTAAGTAAGTATAGAAATCAATTCTTCTAATTTAATTTTAATTTTAGTAAAAGTAATTATGTTCCAGCATGAGGATTATAAAACAACTCTGTAATTGTTTTCAAGAATAAGATATAATACAGCACTGAATAATACAGTATAAATGAGGCACATTTTGTATTTTTTTTTATAAATGAGGAAAACGAAGGTCATGATTTTGATAATTCTCAACATAGTAAACTAACGGTAGTTTGTTTTTGTTTTCGAGAACCCAAACAGTATTGCAAAAGTAGGAAGGAAATTAGCTTGAGTGAGCACTAACTGTAGCAAGTGTGCTCTCAACTATTTCATTTATTTATCTTTTAAGTTTATAAAATAGATGTATATTATCCCCATTTTACCAATGCTAAACAAAAGCTCTCAGAGTAGTTCTACAAGGCTGTTTGGAGGGACGGCCACCGGTCAGATCCTAATCACCCGATTTCAAAGCCCAGGCTCTTTCTGTGGCATCAGTACATCGTCAAAAGTGCTTTGTACAAAGATTATGGCTGAATCACAAAAACAAAAGTTTCCCAGTTTCTCAGTGTCATGTATTTCAACTAGTTTCATTTCTTTCCATGTTTTTCATTGCATTTCATCGTAATAAGGTCGTGATAGTAGCGCTTACATTGAAACAACCTGTAGACCTGCTTCTGGGTCTCTTTCTTTTATGATAATAGTGGAAAAGAGTGCCGACCTTGGGGCTGGTTCTGGCTTTGCTGTTAATCACTTTCCTCCTTTGGGGGTAATACATTTTACAGTGCTGATGCCCTGTCTTCTTATTTGTACAGTAAAGGAAGAGCATTCAATGACCTTGAATACTCATTCATTTATTTTTTTTCCCCTCAGTGGTATTTTGGGGTTTGAACCCAGGGCTTCACACTTGCAAGGCAGGCATTCTACTGCTTAAGCTTCACTTTTCCTATTTTTGCTTTGGTTGTTTTGAAAATAGGGTTTCACTTTTTGCACAGGCCAGATTGGACCACAATCATCCTATTTTAGGCTTCCCACCATGACAGGCTTGTGCCACCATGTTCAGCTTTTTTCTGTTGAGATGGGGACTTGTGAATTCCCTTCCAGGGCTGACCTGGAACCAGGATCCTCCCAATCTCAGCTTCCCAAGTAGCTAAGATTATAGGCATGAACCACCAACAGTTGCCTCATGAATTTCTTGTTGTGGATGTTCTGTGAAGATTATAAATCCATACTACGTTTCCTGAAGAACCAGAAATGTAGATTTCTAGATAATTGATTCTAGAATGTAGCTTTCTAAATAACTGATTCTGCAGTTGGATGACTCCAATCCCTTGGAAATTCCCAGGATTTGTACAATGGGTCTAGATAACGGATTTTACAGTAAGCAAACCCAGAATTGGGTTTTTAAAGTTCTATAAATTCTTTTTAATTCTTTCACTCTGTGTTTAGACTACCTCTATTTTTCTTTTTCATATTTTCCACAGGACTTTTTTACCAATGCAAATAAAGAGTTGAAAAAAGATACACAGCAAGATTACCACCTAGAATATGCCATGGAAAATAGCACACACACAATAATTGAATTTACCAGAGAATTGCATACATGTGACATAAATGACAAGCAAATAACGGTAAGGCATGTCGAGTGAATGCATACACAAACGAACTGTGTATTTATACTTGTGAAATACTTTACCCAGTGAAAGGAATAAATGTTGAAAAATAATCTGTGATAACAAAGTCATATAATCTTTGCAATCTCTCTAGAAGCTAAAAACCCTAAGATTATAAAATTCAAAACAGATATTTTTTAATGTGAATTTAAGATTTTGTAGAGCTCTTTAAAGTTTGTATTTTAAAAGGTGCTTTAGTTTCTCTATAAAATTTGAAAATAGATAATAGGTAAAAGTTTAATGAAATGTATTACACAAAGAGAATCATGATATACTCTGAATACTAGGATATAATTTATCTGATTTATAACTCTTAAATTTCAGAAATCATGATGATTAGTCAGCTGACTAGAATCATTTATTGGCATATCATATGAGATTTATTATTTCCAGATTTCTCACCAAAATTAATATCTTCATGCATATACCAATTAAATATTTGGAAGATATATAATTCATGCAGCACTTTCCACAAATTGCTAGCCTCAATTTCATTTGTATATACTAATAAAATTATCTTTTTTTATTCAATACATTAAAGCTTTAAAAAGGGGAATATAAAAAATATGAAGCAATTTTAATTAACATTTAGTAAGGTGTAAAAGAGGAAGAAAAAAAAATACCAAGACATGGATCACTTTTTATGTAATCTACAGTGCAATTATACTTTAATTGGAATAATAATTATAGTCCTCTGACTTATTAAGAAAGAATATAGTGAAGAGAACACTTAAAATCAGTAGCTTTTCCTTTGTTGTTTTTTCAAAGTTCTTGTTCCAACGATCTGACAAAACATCTTCATCTGTGGGAGAAATGAATAGTTTCTCTACACTGAGCAAACCTTTCTCACCCCACAACCCTTGGGGCAATCTCTGTTGATGGCTCAGTGGAAACCAGTTTCACCTGGCAGTACTTTCCCTATTTGGGGTACCCGAATCTCTTGGAAATTCCCAGGATTCATAAAATGACTTGAGATTGACTCTAGCATAATAAACCTAGAATTAAAAATTCCTTCTAGAATTAGCACTCTCTGTAAATTCATATATGTGACTGAGCTACTGCCTCAGAAGGAATTCTGTTATGAAAGAATGTTACGGTGATTCTAATTTTCTTTCTGTTTGCTATTTTCCCTAAAATGTTCCATCATATCAGAGGAAGTTTTAATATCTCAAAGTTGCTGCTACTTAACAATAATACTTGCTTGGTAACTACTTTGCTAATTTTGAATTTTGGTGTGACAATGATTTACTGTTGTCTTATTTATGAAAGCATAATTTCTGAGTCAATTTTTACCTCACTCTATTTTGAAACACATTTATTGCATGCTGAGAGAGTTCCTTTCAGAAAGCAACTCCTCTATTTGGATCCTTAATGACTTAGTCAGATTTTTAAAATTAGAGACCATGTTGAGAACTTTAAGTGTTACTCTCTTTTGTTCATTTTTACATTCTGCTTTAATTAGAGTTCTTAAACCCATCTGAGAGGTAAGGAAAGTGCTCAGATGGGGTGTAATGTGTCCATGTTTGCTCACCAGGACAGCACTGTGAGAGTGATCTGGGCCTACCACCAGGAAGATGCTGGAGAGGCTGGTCCCAAGTACCACGACTCCAACCGGGGCACCAAGAGTCTGCGGTTATTGAATCCTGAGAAAACCAGTGTGTTGTCCACAGCCTTACCATACTTTGACCTGGTAAACCAGGACGTAAGTTTCTTTTGGTTTTGTGATTATAAGGATCTGTTCACTGAAAGTGTATAAGAGAGTTTTTGATTATGTTATTGTATTTAATACTGGGTCAACAGAATGTGACTTTGTATCCTCCTCCCCTTTTTTATTAAGACAGGTCCCCATCCCAAACAAAGGTACAACATATTGGTGCCAAATGTTTAAGATTCCTGTGTTCCAGGAAAAGCATCACGTAATAAAGGTATGTGACTCATTCACAGGTAGGAATGAAAAAGAAATTGCTGTTCTTAAATGAAAATAGTAAAAATATATAGAAATGATTTTTAATTATATGGAAGTTATTTAGAGAAGAAATAAGGACTGGAGTTGTGTCTCAAGAAGTAGAGTATTTGGTTTGTAAGCATGAAGCCCTGAGTTCCACCAAAAAAACCCAATAAAAGACATATAAGAAATAGCTGTCTTGCCTGATTTACACACCATCTTAAGCGTCTTCTTTGCACTATTATTATTGTTGTTGGTGACGGTGGTGGTGGCATTGGGGTTTGAACTCAAGGCTCGAACTTCCTAGACATGTGCTGTGTCGCTAGAGTCATACCCCCAGCATATTTGCTTTAGTTATTTTTCAGATAGGGCCTTGTATATTTTCCAGGGCTGGCCTGGACATCAATTCTCTTATTTATGCCCCCCTCCCGACCTCTCGCATAGCTGGGAATGTACCACCATTCCAAGATCATAGATTGAGATGTGGTCTCTAACTTTTTGTCAGATTGGCCTCAAACCTTGACCCTCCCAATCTCTGTCTGCTTCCTGAGTAGCTAGGATTATAGGCATGACCACTGTGCCCAGCCAAGAATCCTATTATTTAATAGATTACATACTGATAAATTATATACAAGAAAATTACATTTCCTATCAACATTTTTGAGAATATCTACTTCATTGAAAATATTTGATATTGTCTTAAAAAATTTTTGTCATAGTATATCTATGCAAATAGGAAAAAAGTCAGTGAATTTCTATAGAATTTTTTTTTTAAATCACAGAATTGGATAATAAATAAACTCAATTTGCCTGTACCACACTATTCCCTGCCAGACCCCTGGAATGGGTCTCCCAAAATTTTTGCATCTGGTTACTGAAGGAACAAGTATTTTTTTAAAAAGTTAGAGGCCTCTTGGCTTTGTATTTGTAATTATTGGCATTTCCATAGAAGCTGGAGATTATTGGGTCTGCTCTCAAAGATTATGGGAGAAATGGCCAAGGCACAAGAAAGAAGATAGAATTAAATAAGCATACAGAATACTGTTAACACTGGGAAAGCCAGACACTTCCACCATCTTGTCAGGCCCCCACACTATGTAATGAAGCCGTGTGCATGTGAGAAAGAAGCAAATGTCTAGATTCTGGAATGTAGAGGACATGTGGCTTAGGATCGCTGGTCCACCTTTTCATTAATTATGTTCTCTCAGGTAAGTCACCTTGCGTAAGGCCTTGTTTTCCTCCTCTGTAAAAGGTGGGCAGTTGTAAGTGACTTAAATTTGTTAATTTCTAATCTACCCAGTTGCACAGATCTGCCTTTGTTCACAGAATGACTCACAACTACACAGAGAGGCAAAAGGCAAGAGTTGAGGGAATGTTTGAGTTAACGTGTGGCCCTAGCTATTCATAGGATATTTTTGCCAGCAGAAGACTTAGCAACAATGTGACTGCAGATGAGTCATTTACCTCTGTGTAAGAAGTTATTTTGTATTTCGTGCATGTTAAAGGGGAATGCATATAGCAATCTCATGTACTTAATACAGTGCCAAAGTCCTTTTCTTACATAGGTGAAGTCTCTCAGAAAAGATAATATTGTATATACGTAGATCATGTGTCATTCATAGTCAATTTAATTGGTTCTTGGCATAGGGACAAATGTAAACTTGTAGCTTCATAAATAAAAACAAATGTTTCACTAAATAGGTCTTTTATTCATTTTTTTATGGCACTGGGATTCGAACCCAGGGCCTCACACTTGCTATATATGCGCTTTACATCTTGAGTCACTCTGCCAGACCATTTTTGTGATGGATTTTTTGAGATAGGGTCTCATGAACTATTTGCCTAGGCTGGCTTTGAATCACGATCTTTCTGATCTCTGCCTCCTGGGTAGCTAGGATTACAGGTGTCAGCCACCATCTCCTGGCTCTTTTATTCTTTTTTAATTTAACATTCATTGACCACTTACATTCATGAGTTTTATTTTTACTATTAATGCTAATGAATGAGTTGAATGAAATTGAAATAATTTTCTACATTTATGTATCATCAGTATCAATTTCAGCCTTATATGTAGTGTATTTTCTTGTCTAAGAATTCTTAGCTAGCTTTTCTATCACAAGCATATAACAATAATGATCCATTAAGTGGACTACCAGTAAGCACATTGGGAATCACATTTCTGTCTTCCCTAGACTTTTATATCAAGAGAAATCTTAGTGGTGTTGGAGCATTTTTTTTTTTTTTGCAGTGTTTGTAGGTCTATCAAAACCCCAAGAAATTTTCACTTTGAACAAGCACTAATTTAAGAGAGGTCAACAGGTCAAGAGGAGTACTGGTATCAACTTTTGTCATTGCAGAGAGGTTTTGGTGGCTAGAATTTAAATATTGGATTATTACTTTAAAATACTGCTTGCAATATTTTAAGCCCTAAAATATTTTAAAATCCATTGAGTATTATGAAACATTGTCCTCAAAAATGAATTCAAATAACATAAAAAAGGAGAAAGTTCTACCGAGAAAATATTCAAAATATTTATGGTTTATAAATTGTTTTGGGGCAGTCTCTCAAGAGTGTTTTGATTTGCAGCTTATGCCAGGTTACATAAAATTTTTGAAAAAATTTCCAGTGGAATTTACAGGCCTACAACTTGCCTTAAGAAATAGTCTAATTTCTAGTCTCTTTTTTCTAGCAGAAGTGCTTTCTAATGACTTAAGAAAATATGTATTCTTTTCCAAGAATCAAAGACGCCTATGTTTTAACAAGCTAACCAGTGAGTGCTTCACCTTATTCACTTTTTTTATGTCCCCCAAATTGCTATATCAGACTCTTGGTCTTTCTTTGATACAAAGAAAAGTACTTTTACAGAATATTTCATTTGTATTGTTTCATGTGCTGCATCATTTGCAGTGAGTTTTAAGAATATTGATTACAAATTGATTTTTGTGAGAAACTGGATTCACCGTCTGGACTATAATTCAAAGAAATTATATATAATTCCTATTTTCAGCTTAAATGTTGATACTCCTACATTTTGTAGCTGTAATAACTATAAAACTAAGCAGACAAAATATATCAGTGGTTCAAATCATGAATGTATTTAATGGGAATAACTAAATCTAAAAATACTAATTACATTTTTAATTTAGTTTTAATCATGTCAAGATTAGTTACCTGGAAAATTATGAAATAAAGTATATCATTTAAAAATTATTAAAATTACAAAATAAAATAATTTATCTGTGGGGAAGATGGGATTATAATAAAAGTTGTTGTGTTTCAAATTTACCTGTGGTTCCAATTTATTGATTTGTGTTTCGATTCTTGAGAAAAGTGTTTAAAATTGTGACTTGAAGGTGTGTGTATCATCAGATGAAGTCATGTCATACTTATAGGTAGATATGGACATTTTAGAAAATTCTTGATAATTTTTATTAAAACCACTCTTCTCACCTGAGGTCACACGTTGAGACTCACTTTCTAGTCTGTCTCTCCTTATTTCATCCTGATCCTGTTTAGCTTTGTCATAGATGTGACTTTGCCCTCAATTGTGGATTTTTAATAAGTGCTGGTTCTTTCTATTCTCTTAGATCTACAGTAGCATCATTATCATGACTAATAATAATACCTGAATATGCACTGCCAGAAGTTGGAGTTATTAATTGGTTTTACACAATTTCTTCTAGAGGCTTTTAGTCACAGGGAGTCCTCTTCATAGACAAGTCACATCCCTAGCTTATGAGTTTAAACATGATGTGTCTTTCAATTTAGTAAGTACTTGCTGATGTCCTACTATGTTAAAGAGGTTCTAAAAGGTTGACTATTGCTGACTTCTAAGGTAGGATAACTTTCACTAGCAATAAATATTTACCTGTGTGTGCTTTAGTTTCCTCATTGGAAATTGGGGAATAATAGTTCTTACCTAACAAAGTTCTAAGTGAATCAAAATGAGTTTAATATTTGTAAAGTATTTTGAACTGTGTCTGGCAACAGTGTCTATCAAATAAAGTAAATAAAATTCATAGGTAATTTCCATAATACAATTGCTGATCTGTTGATCATTTTGTTAAATTTCTGGGTTGCTGAAGGATTCCATGTTGGAATCTTTTCTAGACAGAGTATTAAATAAAACCTAGATTGTCAATCATTTCATTTAGGGAGATCACCTTAAAATTTCTTTTTTAAAGACTATGAAGTTGGAGGTAAAACCAGACACTAGCATCAACAGATGCTTTACTACTTGCTACTGAACAGAGCATCTTTCTTTCCATGAAATTAGACACACTGCAGTGTGCTTCTATTGGTGGCACTCATAAATCTCAATGATTTACTTTGGGAAATGTTTCCTTGGACAAGAAAATCTAAGAATAATTAGCATTAAATAACCATAGATTTTCCTTGAAGCCTGAATGCTGCATAGCCATGAAATAGTTACTGGAATATTGATTTCCTACAGTAGACGCATAGCATGAACATTTGACTTTATATGCTGTGTTAAATAGATACTGAAGACCACCTTCCTTATTGTGTTGGCTCCTTTATAAAAACAAAAAGACTGCTGAATGGAGAACTTTATCATTAGCATATTTCATAAATGTCAAGTGTGTTTGAGAGTTTCTATTTCTGAAAATGTGTTAGCCTCCTGGGTTAATTTTAGTAAATTGTGGGAATTTGAGCATTCTCTGTGTCAAACTACATGATTTTACAACTATCAAAATTAACTGTTCTCTAACAGTTATAGCTCCTTCCTTTCTTTCCCCTAAAATGATATTTCAAAATATGTTTAATTGATGTCTCCTTCTGATGGAGACAGCATTTTGGTTTGTTCTCAGAATGCATTTATATAGACTCCATAAGTTACTTTTCATTCTTTTATCACATGTTCACCTTTTGCCTCATTTTATCACTTGGGAGACTAGTAGGTGTTCACTATTAACTGTAGACTTAGTGATTGCTTGTGTTTTCCCCAAATCCATTCCAAC